TCCTACTTCCGTAGTGATACTGCCTCGGAAACCCAAGGAGGGGTCGCTATGAGTCGGGGCCGACTCGACGGCACATAACAACAACAACATGGCATACAATACATACTCAATAAGTAATGGTAATATCATTTATTCATTTATCTCAGAATAAAGTGCCTGTTTATTCAGTGCCTATTGTTCAGAAAGATTAACACAAAAATGTTTATTATGCACCTACTTTGTGCCAGGCATTGCCTTAGGTAAAAGCTGGGGGCTCACAAATAAAATAGATAAAGATTTGCCTTCCCTTAAGGAGTGTAGGGCCTAGTAGTGGAATTAGGTTAAAATAACAATAATAAGGGTTTCACAATATCTCAAACAGTTCTCTGTTTTCAGCCTAGGCTTTTGGAAACTCATTTTATTTTTAACTTCCTTGGAAACAAAACAATATATGTATGTGTTGTTGTCAGTCAGTATTTATTGAGCACCTGCTGTGTACCCAGAACTGAACATACAGGAATAGTATAAGGAAGGGCCTGTGCTGTTGGTAAAAGAGGGGTCCCTCACTCCTCCCAAGTCCCCATTGGGGGCTGCTGTAAGTCAGAATCAACTCAGCAGCACCCAACAACAGATGCCTTTCAGCCCAGCTGCCCTGGAGCAGGGCAGGGTAAGTGACACTCAGAAACAAGGGCAGCAGTTCCTTGATTCTAATGCCTCTGCCACCCTTCCTCTGGGGACTGCTCCCACTCCCAGCCCAGGACTCACAGGGGCTGAAGGGAAACTTGTCCCTTGGGATCCAGCTATAGATCAGAAATTGCAGTCAGTGATTCCACTTGATTTTTGTTGGTTTTTTTTTTTCATTTCACTTAATTTTAAAATTGGCATCAATCATTTGTTTCTGAACTTTAAAGTAATAAATGAAGAAAATTTGGAAAATATAAAAATCTATAAAAAAGGAAAATAATAATTGCTATAATCCTGCCAACCTTGATCACTGTTAACATTTTGGCGTATCGTTTTCTAGTCTGTTGTTGTTGTTATTTGGCATCAAGTCGGCCCCGACTCATAGCAACCCCTCCTTGGGTTTC